TATAATTAACATCATTTTTTTCCCCATGACTTGTTGGACAATTTCGGGACAAACTTTGACAACAAGACAAACTTTGCTGTCATCCATTCAAAACTGCTGAAAATTATACAATTTTAAGATGAGTGATATTTATATCCCCCTATTACAATACTCAGCTGTTTTTTTAAGATATTTTGAGATAAAAACAAATCTGTGGTTCTTTTATGTGTGTCACACCATAGGACATTACGTCACACTAAAGGACAGAAATGGTAGTTATTAAATTATTTCTATTTAATTTTGAACATGTCAAAGGAGAAAGAAAGTTTAATTTTGATACAAACAATTTCAACATGTTTTTTAAACAAAACAAAAAATTATTTTCATTAACAAAAGTCAGTCTCTTAGTCAATCAGTATGTTACTAAAACGTTTCCAGCCCCCTGCTGCATGTGTGGCAGAGCTAAATATGATTGATATTCAAACTATATTCATTAAGATGTGAATGAATTTTTTAAAACTATATGGCTGCTCTTTTTAAGGCATAATTTTGATTCTATTTACTTCCTGCATCGTTCTCTTAGGATCTCCTCCCTTCTGGTGGATCCCTGTTAATTTTCTGTCTATATTTCCATGTCCTATCTCTTCCAGTAATTTCTCTCCCTCAATTCTTTCTGTTTCAAAAACAAATTACCACATTTTATACTTATTTTCATGACACTTTATAACAGTAAAACAAAAACATCAGAAAATAGTTTCTTTAATGTAATTATTGCATTTAAGAACACTGAAAATGATCAAAAAAAGAGTTCTTGTATTTTATTGCGTCGCGCATTTTTATCTTGTGGGACAGTGAAAATGCCATGTCACGTCAACAATTTTTAAAGAGACCTTACCCTTTGGTGTGACATCTTTGTCTTATGGTGTGACAGTACAGGCGTCACACCGGAGGACAGTTTCTGTCACACCAAACAACGTTTCAGCCTTTTTCTGTCAATTAATGACATTGCTATTCCGAGCTAACCTGTCTTTAGCGGTTAGCAAGACACGTCTGCATAATTTTCCATGATTATGTAGTTTAACATGCAGTTTTTAAAGATATGGTGTCACCATAGGACATGGTTTTCAGAGACAAAGTATATCAAGTTCCTACGCTTTCAGAAATATATGGATGAAAAAAATGATTGCCATTTACTAAAACAGACACTTGTACAATTATGCAGGAGGTATTTATTAACATTTTTATGCTTTTCTTTTTAATTTGTAAAAGTTGTAATTTACGGAAGAACCTTGCTTGAGACAGTCACACCATAGGACAATTTTGAGATTTGGCTCAAAAAAATAAATAAATCGAATAACACTGCAGTTTTTATAACAACAGGTCCATGTAGGACAACTAATTTTGAGATTTGGCTCAAAAATGTAAAAAATCTAATAACACTGCAGCTTTTATAACAGCAGGTCCATGTAGGGCAGGGTTTCTCAATTAGTTTTCGCCGAGGGACGTATTCTGCAAATAACAGGCCACTGACCTATATATATATATATATATATATATATATATATATATATATATATATGTTATTATTATTACAGTTATTATAAAGAGTTCTTGTATTTTATTGCGTCGCGCATTTTTATCTTGTGGGACAGTGAAAATGCCATGTCACGTCAACAACCCATATATATATATAGGGCTGGGTGAGAAAACAATAACGATAATTATCGCGATATAATTTTCCTCGATAAAATTCATCCTTCATTTACCATGGATTTACTGTAGTTACACTAACTGCACCATGGTATGGTGGCAGAAATATGGGATATTCATATCGAATTTTATTATTAATGTAGACATGTATTAAATGTATTAAAGGAGTAATGGAATTGAATTACAGTATTTTTTGTGATTAAGCTATAGCTTTTGTGCATTTATACTAAATGTATTTAGACTACTGTTTTCATACTAATACCTAAAAATCATGTAGTTACATTTTTACCATGGTATTGAGGTGCTATATGTGTGGTTTTAATTGTGGTTGTCATGATGTAAATGTGTGCTACTATGGAAGACCAATGGTTTATGTTAATAAAACTCAAATAGTCAGAATAATTAAATTTCACCATATAAAAATGAGGTTGTTACAATTTTTACAGATGTTACTGTTTTCGATAATGAACGTAAATTGATATCTGCATCCTAACTCAAGCTACTGTGAAATGTGCATTTCTGAGACAAAAAAGTAATATTATTAATATTACAGCCTGCACTATAAACTGTGCTGAATATACACGTCATCAAAGTTAGGGAACACAAACCTGTTTCATGATTTGAAACGATATCACTCATTAGAACATGCATAAACTAAGAAATTTAATTTTCTATTAAGATATTTATTTTGTTAAGGAAAAATGACTGGAAAAGTGTAAAGAATTCAAAAACTTGAAGTGTTTGTCATGTTCTGACCTTAAAGAGTTGTTTAAAACCACAATTAATGGTCTTTTTTTAATTTTTTTACAACTTTCACTTTGGAGCAAAAATCTGCCTTTAAACTTGAAAGAACGAAAGATTTGAAATTGATCGTGATAGTTATGGATATCGACATAGAATAGGAGTGCTGTATATGCATGTATGTTTAATTATTTTAAAGTTTAACAACTTTAACTACTTGGAAAAAGTTAATGCAAATGAAATGAATAAAAAATACATTCAAACAATGGCATGTAGCCTAAATTGCTTTGAAAAAGACAAGTAAACAAGTAAAAAGAACAAAGACACATTATTATAACAAATCACTTTATTATCAATAGAACAAAGACTGTTTGAAGTTTTTTGAGTATGTGACTGTATGGCTTTATTAAAGCTGTTGACGTTATCCAGCCAAGAGCAGGATGTGTTTTTCTCTTGAGAATATTAGCCTTCTTTGAATATTATGAATGACATAATAGACAGCATGTTAGCTCTTGCTGTCTTTCGGATCTAATTTGTGACATCACATTTTTATCAATTCTGTTTAGATTCACTTAAGATATAACTGTGTTTACATTGATATCATGTCAAGAATGTATTAAGAACGCAGCATTTGAAAAGACCCACTTGTCAGTCATTCATTCTTTCTGTACTTTTGTAATCACTAATAGTGTGCATTTAATGTGTAGTTTTATATAGAAGTGTCTAGTGTTTGAGGTGTGTATAGCAGTATATACAGAGCATGTTGTTAGTGTCACCTTCATGGCCTTTTTATTCAGTGCTGAGACTCCCCTGGTTGTTCCTGGTTGATCAGTACAATACACAGGGCTGCTGAGAAAACCAATCATTTGACAGCATGGCGCCCGCTCCATTGCCTGTAGGTAATTGAGGATCCCTCTTTGACTTGTGTGTTTCTTCTAGTCCCCTGCCGTAATAATTATGCATGCTCAGACTAGGTTATTGATTGTCTCTGTAATTTCGAAGGGAGTTGTTATCAGTCCCAGCTGGGTTTGGTGCCAACTTTGTGCATCTTGTCATGATGAGGTCATTCAAATGGAGATGGCCACAGTTTGGAAGGTGATTTTCTTTTCATCATTGACCTGTATCCCTTCTCTCTCCATGCTTGCTTTCCCGGTTTTTCTTCCATGGGTGTCCTCTAATGCCACCAAATAGGCTTGACATATAGAATTGGTAGTAGTAGCAGTTGTAGCGTTGTAGCGAAACGAATATTGGCGCACAACGCATGAATTCGGTCTTCCCAAGGCACGGCGTGGCAATTGTCGAAACTGAGGCTGTTAATCTGATGGAATCAGATATTTGTTCTGGACTGATTGAGAGAGGGAGGATGGAGACGCATTAGAGCTTCACCCAGCACTCTGTGTATGCCAACTACGTGTGTGTCGTCTTTGCTCAACCGAGTGTGGCCACAAATCTCAGGGGCATAGCCACCCCCTGCTGTTCCAGACGCTTTGCAGATGAACGGCAAAATTAAGAAGTGTTAGACACAGGGTTGATGTGCTACTGCTCTGTGATTTCCATGTGCATTTGTCCATCGTTTACCACTTTATACAGGTATAGGTGCGATGTGTGCACTTAAAACTGAAGTGTGACATTTTTTAATATGTCAATATTGTGGTTGCCTCTGAATATTATGTTGGGAATTGCATAAGCAAGACTTTGTCAGTGGGCTTGGTTCCGGAAATGTTTTTCCCTTTTGTTTTTCCCATAGGGATTTAAAAAAAAGTATTTGTTTATAAGAGTTATAAACCATAAACCAAACCAATCAGCTACATGGTGAATCACAACATTAAAAACAATGATTTGAAGCAAAAAGTGTTTGAAAATCAGACAAAAAGCATATACCAGCGAATTAAGAACCTCATAGCTCACAATAGGTCTGTCATTAAAAATCTATTTGCCTATTGAGAAAATGAGTGGGATTTTTTACGTTCAGAACCCCACTGTTGCACTTTATGAAAGCATTCTATTTATTTGAGCATCCCAACCAGCTCAACACAGCATCATTGGTTCATCTAATGGCATGAAACACTCTGTTTCTAATGGAAGATGGAGGTTTATTTGGGAAAATTAAATTTCATTGAATTTCCTGATTCCACAGCACAGCTCATGCCTATTAGTAAATAAAGAAACTTTGTCCAAGACAGACCTTTTTTAATGTCAATTTTATTTATAGATGTGACTTTTAATAAAAGTACAATCATTGGCAGTTTTTGTATGGCAGAATTTAATAATTTGGGCTTCACAATTCATTTAGAACAGACTGAAGCATTTTAGTTTAGAGTTTTAGTACTTCAACTTAAACCTCTTTAATTTAATTCATCATTTCCATTTATATGTATGTAAGGCAGTGGTATCTAAACCTACTGCTTGAGGGCCAATGTTCTGCAGAGTTTAGCTCCAACCCTAATTAAACACACCTAAACCAGCTAATCAAGGTCTTGAGGATTACTACAAACCTTCAGGCAGGTGTGTTGGAGCAGGTTGGAGCTAAACTCTGCAGGATGTTGGCCCACAGGAGCTGGATTGGGCACCACTGATGTAATGGATTAAGTTTTAGAAGCTCGTTGTTGAATTTGGGCCTTAGAAATGCCAGCAAAACCTAAAAAAACTGAGTTAAATACAACCATTTTGGTTTACACATTGTATATATCAGTGTCTATCCAAACAAAAGGAAATATACAGTAAGTACTAGATCGATTTGGTTATTTAAAATGCCCGTTAAATATCCAGTTGGTATGTTATTAAGCCTTTGTTTAGCTACATGGTTTACGATTCTACATACATGTGTTAACTTACTCATTTTAAAGTATTAGTGTCCAAAGCACTATTGTTCTCTTTTGGCTTCAGCTCAGCCCACCCGCCTGTAGCGTACCAAACAGAACGGCTAAGATTGTTGTAAGGTTTTAATGCGATTATGTGGCTTTGAGTCTCTTCAGGTGTCGCTTTTATCATCTTAGCAGCTTGTAGTCTTTCATTTATCTCTCTCTTTCTCTTTTCCTTCAGCCTCTTGAAGTAAACAGCCGAGTATTTTACTTTCTTAACCTTGGCTGTACTAAGAAGCTATGTCAACACCCACCACATAAACAAACAACAAACATCCTTCGCTATAAAAAATGCCATTATTGTAGAGTAGATTGACTTTACCTCCCATCATCACGTAAGATCCATAGAAACAGTCATATTCTCTGTTTCTTGTCTGCCGTTGCAGACAACAGAGTAATTGGCCTAATCTTCGGAGGCGGTAGATTTGCCAAGAGTCGCACGTAATCTTATTATCCTACCAAACACACAACAAAGACACGAAAGCACTTTCCAGCATTCCTGCATGTAGTTGGAATCCCATCGTTCCAGAGACAATGATGGAGTCCTTTCCAAGAATTCAATGCTGTGCATTAGTTGTCTGCTATCGCAGTTGTTTTCGGGATGTTTGTGAATGTGTTTGTGAACACACATTTTGTTTATATAGCAATATGTGCCTTGGTATTTTTAGGTTAAACACATTTTATATAATACAAGAAAGGAGTGAAGTGATATTTATATCCTGCATGATATAAAATAATTAGAATCATAGATATCTTTAAAATATTTAATTTCCTTTTTGCATGTATTCATATGGACTTTTTAAAGGGACAGTTCACCCAGTTCTCATTTACTTATTTTAATTTCCTCTGTTTACACAAAAGAGGATTTTTTGAACAATGTTGGTAACCAAACACTTGCTGGTAGCCACTGACTTTTATAGTATGGAAAAAAATACTATGGAAGTCAATGGCTACCAACAGCTGTTTGGTTACCAACATTCATACAGGTTTGAAACAACATGAGGGTGAGTAAATGATGACAACATTTTTCATGTCTGGGCAAACTATCCCTTTAATAAGGTAAGATAGAATAATAAGATTTTTTAACTGCAGTATTGTTAGTTATTTTTTGTGTATCAGAATGACTGTTCAGGCAGTAAGACACACAGGAATGTGCAGGTCAACTGTCTGCTTCAGCAAATTCAATACTCAAGAGGCTTGTTCACTCTGGAGTGTCTATTTAAAAAGGAATTGGAGTGGTTCTTTGGAATGGAATAGTTTTTTGGTGGAATAATTTGTGCTACCTAATTTATTGCTCTCTTCATAGTGAGTTGTGGGTACTTTTATGTTCCCTGGTCTGCTGCTGTGGACTTTGGAGTGGGGAGTTTTCAAGAGTCAAGAGTTTCAAGAGTTTTTCTTTTTGGCCCCACTTTATATTAAGTGGCCTTATCTACTATGTACTTACATAAAAAATTAAGTACAATGTACTTATTGTGTTCATATTGTATTGCAAAACACTTTTGCTGCTATTGAGGTGGGATATGGGTAAGGTTAGGGACAGGTTTGGTGGTATGGGTAGGTTTAAGGGTGGGTTAAGGTGTAAGGGATGGGTCAACTGTGTAATTATAAATGTAATTACAGAAATTAATTACAGATGTAATTACATGCAGGTATTTTTAAAATATAAGTACAATGAAAGTACAGTTATCCCCTATTTTATTTTATTATTTTATTTTATTTTATTTTCAGTCACTTGTTTTTATTTGCATGCTTTTTTTAACTTGTTTGTTTGTTTTTATGTTTTGACGGGACAGTAATAGGCAGATGCATTGTTCCTCTGCCTCCCCTGTCAAAACTGCCCCTGCGCCTCTCCACTCATCTATTCCTGTTGTTGTGCTGTCAAAGTATGCTAACATACATCATCCCCATTTTTGTCCTCTCTCTAAGAGTCACAGTCGGGTCGTTACGATGTGCCAGAGTTGTTTTAGCGTGCCAGTTATTAGATCAGTGCCATAACACACCCCGACACCTCACAAAACGCAATTTCACACTCATCGAGTGCTATCAGTGGTTAATGAGATGCCTCTCATTGGTCCTTACCCCTTCAGTTTACCCCTCCTTCATTCCTCATTTCTTTTCATCTCCAATAGGCACCTGTCACTGTGGATCTGAGCATGGCTGAACGCATGTAATCATATACCAATTACGGCACTGGAAACCATTTACGGATGACCAGTGCTATTAATCTAACATGCATGGCATTTCTTCATTGCCTTGTTTTTCCAATCTGAAGGCCATCTCCACTTGCATGAGCAAATTAGCTTGTTTTTGCTTTCAGATGTGGTCTGCATCCGGATGAGAGTGAAGAATATGTGAAAAAGCTCATTGAAGACGTTACCTTGAAAAGGTTAGAATGATTTGCCCAAGTTAAAGGACTGTCAATTGAATGTGTCAATTTAGTACAATTAATTATTAAAAAAAAAGTTTTATCACATTTAAAACACATTTAGTCATTTTGACCATATTTTTGATTAAACACATTTTATTTAATACAAGAATCTATATCCTGCATGATATAAAATCATTAGTCTACACACTTAATCTCACTGATCTCACATGATATATATATATATATATATGATTTTTTTTTTTTACAAATTTTAATGTTATACCTGCAAATACAATATGACTTTATGTAAGAATACTATACCAAATTCTTTCTTTTTCTTTTTTTTTCTACTGTAAATTGCCATTTGAGCTTGATTTATATGCTGTTTTTGCCTGCAGTGTTAATTGTCACTGTGTCAATTATCAATTTTCAACAATTGTCAGTGTCAATTAAATGTGTCAGTTTAGTACAATTAATAATAATACATAAAAAAAGTTAAAAAAATGAACACATTTAATCAGGCCCCCTGACCTTTATTTATTATGTAATAAGGAATTTTCACTCCTAACTATATAAAAGGCAGAGCTCTTATTATGAAATACCGAAGAAACGGATGCCTGTCTGATTGTGTAGTCTAACATTTAGTTGTTTTGCTTTGATGAAGATTGGTTTGCTTAACCATTTCCCCTAACTGACATGTGACTGACTCACACCGCCGCTCTGTGCCACTCTGTCATCCTTGACCCATTATAAGTTTATAATATGTGGGCTCTGACCTGACCCTCCCCCCAAATCTTACTGATTCATTTCAGAAAAGTAGCTGTCTGTGTGGGAAGATGATACTTCAAGTTATTTATCTCATCATTTATCTCACCACTTCCACATTTGCCATAATGAGAAATAATGTAATAGTGTTAATTGGAACCTATTGTAAATATTAATTTGTGACTTTATTGCTCTGTCGTCTTGCTGTGTTAATATTTCTCTGAGCAAGAGTGGCGGAGGTTTCTCATAACTTGAAAAGTGGAAGCATGGGAATTGCAGGTGCCATCTGGTCTCAAAACAGATAACAGTAAAAAAGTGACATGAGAGACATAATTCACCATGATATGTTGCATTCTTTAAGCAAAGGTGATACTAGGAGAGCAGATCAAATCCAAAATGCTGCAACTGATATGAATTTCACTTGAATTTCTTGTTTGTTATGGTTCACAAGGACTTTACTGTTATTTATTACATTATTAGTATTTATTCATGTATTTAAAATGTTTATTTTAGTAAATAATTTGTCAGATAAAAAGTGCATCGCAAGGTGCGTTGGATAAAATTACAATATAAACGCAAAAAAAAATAAAAAATACAATACTCAAATTTGCATCACTACATTTTATTTGCATTCGCTTGAGGTTAAGGAATGTTGATTGACTGAAAATTTCTAAATAAAATTTTGTGATGATGCAAGTTTGACTAGTTTGCAGGGTTTTTAAAAAAAAAAATTGATTTGTAATGTTTCGAAATTCAAAATTTTATTTGCAATGTTTCAGTCAATTGTCCTTCCACAGGCTTGAGTCTGAGGAAGGTTGATTGACCGAAATGTTGCAAATAAGATTTTGTGATGATGAAGTTTGGGTAATGTGCAGGATTTATATATTTTTTTCCAAATAAATTCTGTGTCACAATCTTTAAATTATTATTATTATTCCATCATTTTTATCATTCCATCATTATTATTATTATTATTATTCCATCATTTATCATTATATATATTTCAGCATTATTTAGTCCATCTGACCACACTGTTCTCTAGGTGTTTTATTGCCGTTGAACAGTATTATCTACATTGTCCATAAAATTTATCTCATTTGGCTCTCAAGAGCCATATAAAGTGTTAAAGTACTAATACTCTTTTATCTGTTGAATTTAGGAAAACATTACCATGCTGAGTGCGCCAATCATAGCATGAAAAACTATAGACGATCCGTTTAAACTGCTGAAATGACCTGGAAGTACTTTAACATTGCAGTTGAGGGCTATTGAGCGTGGAGGGCTAATCTCCATGGCTCATGCACTCCCCTATGATCCACAGGAGGACAAAACCTCTGGCCGATGGTGTGTGTCAAATGCAGCGGAAGTCATCCTGAAAGGACGAATGGAGATTACAGAGGACAAACAGCTTATTTTCCAACACAATGCTGTTGATAATGTATTAAATTAATGACCCGGCATACGAAGAATAGAGATAAATGTAACATACAAGCGTGCTATGAATAACTATGAAACTGTCATGCGGAAGCACTTTCATTTAAACGTTTCTCCAAGAAAGACTTAATCAAAAATGTCAGCTCAGCAAGAAGCAGCTGACTTCCTCCCGCCCCATCTTTTGTAGTCCTTCCTTAGAGAGTCCATCCCCTGAATCACAGCCCGCTCTAGAATCCTGTGACCTTGAGCAAATTGCCCAGCCTTCCTTTTGTCTCCCTCAGTTATTTGTCCTTTCTTTCCATTTTTGTTTTCTTATCGCATTTTATCATAGCTGTTAGCCATGAACTGGTGGATATTCTGCAATGAAATCTGTGCAACTCAAATGGCTTTTTATAATACGGTGATGGATCATGTTGAGGGCTTGATGAATCGTGCCATCGTTACATTAATGAAATGTTTTCCTGCGACAGCCATGATTTTCACAGAGCAAATTGATGCAATAGAAATGAGCAAAGTAACGCTGTAATTGACTTGGGTTGAAGCTCAGCTTTTTTTTCCCGTATCTATATCTATTGGCAGAGTTTGGGTGATTGCATTTTTATGAAACAGATTTCCGGCTCTGTAATCTGACTAGATATGCCACATTCAAAGCTGATGTAAAATAGCTGAGATGCACAGACCTGCACAGACTGCATATCAGTAAAATTCTGTATTATTATGACCATTTGCTTGCCATAAACAGTTCAGCTAATGAACTCCCTTAGCAGAGGAGTTTTTTTGGTATTAAAATTGCTAATACATGTAATGTGCTGCAAAAAAGTAGTCCAGGTTGTTCTTTACACCATTATGGGGAATTAATGGCAATATGAATTACTTTATTAATAAATGTTCCTGGTCTTATTTGACTTCTTTATAGTGCTTTTGCACTAAAAGCTAGTACGCTATTGCTTTATTCTGGATCCCCTGTCAAAACTGTTTTTTACATTCTGATTTTATTATTTTTTATTATTTATTCATTTATTTTTCTCTAATATTTAGTATTTTTATATCACCTTTATGCAGGTTATTTGGGTTTAGAAAAGCATGAGGATGTGTGAGTAAATTACGTTTTCATTGTGAGTGAACCATTCCTTTAACTATGGTAAAATCACTGTAACAGCCTCTCGTGACTTCATTCTACTCTAATTGCTTGCGACTTCACATAGGGATACAAGGTCCATTGTTGAGCTATGTCTCTATGAAAAACCTTTACTAGGCTTTCTGTACCCCTTTGACACTTCCACCATCCTCATTTAGCCATCGTTCGTCTCTTTATTGCAGTTCACATCTGTTTCACCTGTTCATCTGGCTAATTCTGGTCTTGCATTAAGTTTTCATTACAGTTCTGTGCACACGCACACCTTGTAAGGCACAAGTTAATTAAGTTTATGCATTTGCTGGCACATAACCCAGGCTTAAGTTACGGTGCGATGCTTGATTTATGCTGTCTTCAAGGACGATCTATACTATAGCTGTGTGGAGGTGTAAAAGGATAAAGCAGAGATGAAAGCCTTAAAGAGGTGTGCTGCAGCCCATCGGTTTCATCGACTGACGCCACGTGTTATTTGTGGTGTGTTTTCAACTACAATGAGTGAATTTCAGTGACAAATCTCATGGCTTTTCAGTTTCAGTGACTGAAGGAGAACCGCATTCATTTGCGTGACTGATTTACGCAAACTAGATTGTGCCATTTTTTTTTTACTGACCTTGGATCAGTTTCATTCACTCAGATACAAAGCTGCATCGTGTCTGCAAGTGATGTGAGCAAAACATGTTTTGACGTGACAAAATAGAAAACAAGTGTGTCAAAATGGCATTGCGTGCTTGTTAAACAGATGCAGACAGCAGCAAAGGTTTTGATTAAATATGGCTACTTTTGTTCATCCTGCTCTGTCAGTTTAATGAAGAAAATTGTGGCTTTACTTCTTTGTTAATGCATTAGCTGGTGAATTTTAAACCAAGGGCCATTTGGGAATTATTGCACATTACAACACCCTGGTCTTCTTTTAAATGAAGGCATGCTGGGACATTATAAGAGGCCTCAACCTAAATTTCTTTCCAGATGCACCCTTATATTACTTTAGAGTTTTTTTTCTCCCAGCAGAGTCCACAGAAAGCAGGGGAAAGTTTGATTTCCTCCATAATTACAAAAGTGCCATGATACTCAGCCATTTCAGAGCAGTCTTTCTTACCTCAGAGCTTCATGTGGAGGCCGGCCAGGGAAAACATTCTACAAGAATCGCTGTATTAGCTGAAGACGACTAAAAAAAATACCCCAAACACTGGTACAAATACAGATCCCAGTTCAGCTGTTATAGGTTAACTGATTTGGAATACATGGTTATTTTATTAATAGACATTGCACGCACAAGGTGTAGTTAAACATTTTGTTTAAAGGGGTCATATGATGTTGCTAAAAAGAACATTATTTGCCAGAGGCCTAGGGTGAGCGGCGGGCTAGAGTGAGCGGCTGCCGGCGGCCTAGAGTGAGCAGAGGCCGGCTTGAGTGAGCGGCGGTGGGCGGGCTTGAGAACGGCGAGGCCGGCGGGTTCG